AATTTATTCCAAGTCTGTTTACAACGGACTATACAATGCTGAGCTCCTTCGAACTTAACAATCTTCAGTTCAATTCCCATTCGTGCTCTCCTGAGTCCCTGAAAAGTCTTCAAATCACAAGTTTAAATATTGCTCATGCAAGCGGAATCACATTTAAGGAAATCGTCTCTAACTTGAATAGTGAAACTCGTGAGAAACTTACCAGTCTGAACATAACTGGTATGAGAATAGTGGATGCTTCGGACTTTTTCCATCTGAGAAACTTGAGCAGTTTGGATATTAGCTACACAAGTGCTACTGCGGAAGATCTGCAAGTTATAGTCACAGCATGTTCACATCTGAAATACCTCGATATTTCAGTCACCTCTATTGAAGATATAAGTTGTCTCCTTTCACTGAAAGACCAACTAGAGGGTCTCTCCATGCATTTCCAAATATTGCCAAAGAGTAGAGTGTTGGAAGAGATGATATCGATAATTGTACAGCTGGTGGAACTTCGGAGACTTGAATTTTCGTGTACCATGAGACAACAGCGTCCTTTTCCACCTTTGACGGATTTTTGCTCGAGTGATGCTCTAATCCATCTTGAGCATTTTGATATTTGTGGCAATCCGCTTTCCTTTCCTCCAATTGCAATTAGGTGCGTTTATTCAAGACTTTTTGTTTCATTTATTTGTGTTTTTTATTTATTATTGTATAGTATATAGAACACATCATGCGACAGGCACAGCCTTAAGCGCTAGAATTCATTAACTTCGATATCTTATCAAGCACTAGTCTATCACAATTATATTGATTAAATTAGAGATCATTTGAATGGAAACACAGACATCACAGTTTAATTTCCTGTCATTGAAAGGTCAGCTTTGAACAAACAGATGAATACGATTTTCAAAGCAAGGATCGACCACCAGTGTATTTTTAATGTAATTTCTTAATCCAAGTCGAAGTCATTTCCTTTGAAAAAAGGTGTTATTTTTTTAAATAAAGCACCAAACTTCAAAGATATTATTACACTTTCGGTCATTTGGGCACTAGTTGGTGCAAGTTAGAGGTTTTCTTCTGAATGTCAAGATGCCGGGTGCTTTCAAGTTAGGAAATGTACATATTGAGACTATCGCATAACTTCTGTACCCTTCCTGCATTTAACAGTGCTAGTACTCTATCACACCACCTTCTCAGGACTTAAATTGATTCATTGGAAACTGTGGCAACAACATTATGGGGAGGGGAGGGGGTATGTGGTGCCCGACTGCTTGGAAGACCTCAGATGAGTAAGCATTTTACTAATTTTCAAACCTTCCTTGCCACACAATCACCAAATAAGGAGGAGAAGACGATAGTCGCGTGCACCCGGAGTGATAGCTCTTAGGCGCAATGGGACATGCCACCAGAGTGAAGGTCTTCCGTTTGTCAGCGGAAATATCGATCATCATCCTAATAAT